AACAGATATCCTGGGGAAAATTAGTTGAGGTCACCACCACCAAGACAACTGAATGGATGGGAGCAAACAGAAATGTTTGCTCTGCTGAGATGTTTATTTTTCTCCAAGTCTGATGTGCTACAGAGCTTGGTGAGGCATTAATTCTCGGTTGACTAACAGGCTTGGCATGCAGAAAAATCTATTCAATAAGTAGGTTTAATTGATCAAGTGCCCAGTTACATTACGTGAAAAAAAAAAAAAGTCATAATTTCCTCCCAAGCCTGGGCAGCCCGTGTGTGAGCAGTGGGAAGAACTGAATTCCACACAGGGAGCCATGGCAGCCACGTGGATGCACTGATCCATGTTTAATCGTGTCTGTGAAGTCAAATGTGTCTTTTCTTGGGTGCAAATTGTCCTTTTGTGATCAATAATGAAACCTACAAGGTCTCGTCCAACTATTTTCAGTTTTCACTTTGAGTTGCAAAAAGGACCATTTTAGCCTAGAGCAGACAGCAGCTGCTGTTTGTCCCACGTCCCCAGAAAACCTAAAAGAAGCCTGCATGATTATTGTTTCTTGCAGACAGAATGATTACAGAAGTCTGCTTAGGCTTGCTGAAGAAAATGGGCCAATCTTACAGCATTAAAAACCTCACGAGAAGTTCATCAGAGTAACGGCAAAGACTCATCACAAGAACACAAGTGCGTGTGCACACACACGCATATACAAGCACACACATACACACAATGACAGCATTTTGATTATCTGCATATTTTACTATCTTGGGGAATAACAGATGGGTTAATATGGGAAGTACATGTAAAATATTTATGAAATGCAAAGTAATTGAAATGATAAACTCATCAAACAATAATTTCTCCTACTATATTCAGCAGCATATGCAAACAAAGGAGAATTTTTTTTTTTTTTACATAATCAAATGCAATGGCCAAAGCCACAGGGAAACAGTGAAAGGAAAGCAGTGGAGATCCCTTCACAACACACTCCAAAGGGTGTGGGGGACGTTCCTGCAGGAGGAGTCTCACGGGCCGCTGAGTGCTGTTCCTGTGTAAGGAGATCTAGAGTTTGTATTTTAGCAAAGGGTGCCTCCTTTGATATCCTTATGGAGCAGAGACATGACTCAGAGTTCTCTGTGAACTTCCATAATGATGGCCATGGGATCGAGAGCTAGTGAAACCATGCAGCCAGCTCTCCGTGCAGCCATTGTATCTCCTACTTAGTCAAATGCACCCAGTTGATAAGAAGTTGGAAAGCAGAGAGACATGAGAGAGTACTTCAAAGAACAGAGGTCCATGCCATTCCACAGCAGACTGGGAACATCAGAACAGCTGTAAGAAATGGCCTCAAAGAGAGCATAGAGAGGGCCTGAGACTAGTCCACGGGAGACAGAGGTATCTGCCTGTGAGACTTTGTTATCCCTGAGTTATTCCCACTATATATCATCATTCCTCTTCAGTCTCTGAAAAGGAAAAGCCTGCAAAGAAATAATAAAAACCTGATCCTAGGAAAGACAAAGGAATTAGCCGAAATGCCAAAGGCAGTACGCCTGTTGTTAGGAGCTCTCACCTTGAACCAGTTCTCTGTGCAAGGGTAGTCGTTGCCCTGGTGTGACTGAGGCACAGAAGAGTCTACCTGTCCTAGTGAGGCTATTACAGACCTTGTAGGTGTAAGGTCTTCCTCCTTAAGACTTCCACTGATCTCACTCTTAGAAACGTGAACGTTTATGGACTCCCCCGGGAAACATTTACGAGAAGTCTATTCATGAAATACACTGGAGATTCATAAACAAATAAGCAGAGTTGTTTATTTTCTGATCAGTAGTGAAGAAGAGGGAGAGGGGGAGGCGTCTGCAAGCATCAACTGTGGAGGCCAGAATTTTCAAACTGGGTGACATGAGAGAGAGTTGCTGAGACTGGGCTGATTGAGGACCATCTTTTTAAGGGCTCACATTCCAGCTGTGGGTGACATGACAGAGTTACTGAGACTGAGCTGACTGGGGACCATCTTTTTAAGGGGTCACATTCCAGCTGTGGGTGACATGACAGAGAGTTACTGAGATTGGGCTGATTGAGGACCATCTTTTTAAGGGCTCACATTCCAGCTGTGGGTGATATGACAGAGAGTTACTGAGATTGGGCTGATTGAGGACCATCTTTTTAAGAGGTCACATTCCAGCTGTGGGTGACAGACATTGCAGAGAGTTACTGAGACTGAGCTGACTGGGGACCATCTTTTTAAGGGGTCACATTCCAGCTGTGGGTGACATGAATGAGGCCTGTGATGAGCAGAGAGATGCTCCTGGTAGAAGCCACAGCTATGGCAAAGGCACAAAGTTGGGAAACATCATTACTATTTGGAGAACAAAGCCAAGGGGGGGGGGGGCAGGAATATGCAGGATGTGTGAAAAAACAGATCGAAAGGCATAGTCCCATTAACTGAGATTTCTAAACCCAAATTAAAACACAAGGGGGATACTACTGGAAGTGTCTAAGTAGGTGGCTCATATTTCAAAATGCAACTGCCCCTCAGTATCCAGGGACCGGCTTCAGAACCTCCTCCTCCATGAGTGGTCAAACTTTCAAATAACCTATGCACATCTCCAATAAGCTTCCGATCATGTCTAGATTTCTTACCATGGCTAACACAATGGGACTGCTATAAATAGTCATTATATTGCATTATTTGTGGGCTAGCAGAAAACTTCTGAATATGATCAGTACATATTTTTTCCTGAATGTTTTCAATCTTTGGTTGGTTGAGTCTGTGAATGCGGAAGCACAAATGTGGACAGTTGACTGTAGTCTTGCTGCTGTGTAGGAAACATATGACCAGAAGAGATGTAAGTAGTATCTACCTCTCCTGAGAATCTCCATAAGCAGATGATTAATAGCAGCTTGCCCAGGGTCAGACATGCCCAGGGGGTCATAGCTGGATCCACAGCTAAAGCTAACTGCAGCTGGTGAGAGGGTTGCCATGGGGAAAACAAAACAAAAAAAAAAATCAAGCATGAATTTTAGACTCCTAGTTTAGGTCAGAAGGCAAAACCGTTTACTGAGGAAAGGAAGACTAGGTGGGGAAAGGCTGTACAAAATCAAGAGTTCTTTGGACACTAGTTTGAAATGGCAACTACATATTCCCATGACAACGTCAAGCAAACAGCGGGATACAGCTCTGAGAAAGAGCTCGGACTGAGTGGTGCAGAGTGGTCCCTCTGCTCCCAGTGTTCTGTGTTTATGGCTTCATTTACCTTGTTTGTTTATTTGACCAACTTTTACTGATTTGAAGATTTCACAAAGCATATGAAAATAGAGAAAATTAAACTACTAAAGGTCTCACATTCGGAATCATCATCATAACTACTTTCCATCAACTTTTGCCAGGTATATACTATGTTATTACTATCTCCACAGCAGAAATTTTAGGAAATTTATCACATGTCATCCCTTCCCTCAAAAAGTATAGTCATTTGGGAAAGAAAATTCAATAATGTGACATATGCCAGTAGACAAATTCTGAAGAGTTAGAGGCAGGGGGTCATGAGTTTGAAGTTAGTTGAGGCTACAAAGAAAAATATTTAACACGGTCCATTTATGTTAAAAGGTAAAAAAAAAATCTATCAAAGACTTTGCTTTTCATGTGACTCCAGTCATTTCAATCTACAGCCTACTCAAATTACTGAATGGAAAAGCTTCAGGTTGGCTAGTGGTGGACCTGCTACAAGATGCCAGTGCCCTAAATATGGTGGTCGCTCCCTTAGAATGCTGCTGCATAAGCAAGCTACAGTCTCACTATTAGTTAACTCATTTGTGTGCAGAGAAGTTTCTATACAAAAAGTAATTTATGGGTCAATAGTATCTGTTATCAGACACGAACACTTTGGAATGAAATTAGTTCGTGTCTTTAAGGAAATGGAAGACAGTTTGTCAGTTGTAACCAGGCTGTGTTCTGGTGATCCAGTTCCTGTGGCAAGAATATATGTTAGGATAGATGGAGAGACCTAAAAGGTGGTTTAAGTTCACTTTCATCATCTTGACCATATGGTTTCATTCCAATGAAGAATGAGTTTCCTGCTTATGTCCTCATGCCATGAAAAGATATCAGGTGTAAAATAAATATAAATCCTCTGTGGACAAACTTCACATAAGAACAAGATAGTGATAGGTAGAAATTGTGTCTGAGAAAACCCTTATAAAGAGTGACTGTGCCGGGCAGTGGTGGCGCACGCCTTAAATCTCAGCACCCGGGAGGCAGAGGCAGGCGGATCTCTGGGAGTTCGAGGCCAGCCTGGTCTACAAGAGCTAGATCCAGGGACGGGCACCAAAGCTACAGAGAAACCCTGTCTCGAAAAACCAAAAAAAAAAAAAAAAAAAAAAAGAATGACTGTACATTGCTATGTTATACAGGCACCATGGCACTGAGACCACCATTGTCATTAGTGATAACACTTCCTTTGGAATGCCTTCATTTGAGGAATTGTTAAGGAGCCAAAGCTCTCAGCACTCACTGGTGCCCGTGTCCTCACAGTCTATGCAACACCAGCATTGAAATCACACCAGCTTTCTAAGTCAGTAGAGTTCTCACAGGACCCCTGGGACCAAAAGATAGTCATTCCTGATCAAAGATCAAATTGAACTACAGTTATTGAATAGAAGAATTTAATCATCTGGAAGAAAATTATAGGGCCCTTCGGTTCATTCAGAATATTTGAATCATTTTAGAGATTATTAAATTAAATTTTCAATCCACGAGAGATTTCTTTCAGCAAAGATGATGCTTAAAGATCCCCTTTCCAAGGCGTGTGACATGGGGAGGAACATTTTAGGATATAAACTAATGAGCAGAAGATATCTAGAAAGTTTGTCTACTCTACCATAAGTCAGTACGCATTTTCCAAAGCCTTGTTAAAATGGGTTTCAATTTAATCTTAACTGTGTCTGGGAGTATTGATGCCCTTAACCGAGTGTCCTGCTCAACTCAGCCTCTGCGCCACTTTGTCTTGCAGCCTCCGCAAGCACGTACATGCCGACGGTGTGCAACGGAAGGGAAGTTCTCGACTCCACCACCTCATCTCTGTGAATGTGATATGCACTTCAGTTCGTACGTTCTTAGGCCGTTAGCCCAAGCGCTCATGTGCTGCCACAGAACATGGGGACAGAGCAAAAGAACAACCCTGGCACCTTTTTTTCTAGAAACAATAAATTATTTTTGAGGACTGTTCAGTATCTAGTGATGTGCTACGACTTTCTAGGCTGATTTTAGTGCCCCTAATAACACCCCCTCCCCGAACATGGAAATAACCATTGTTTACAGAGCTGAGCATTGGTGAAGGGTCCGACAGGGTCAGTCTACTAAAACAAAACAAACAAACAAACAAAAAAAACCCTACACAGTGGCAATATTAGGTAACCTTTTTCCTATGACGTCTTTTGTAGGTTCTTGTTGTAACTAATTTAGGGTGAGTTTCTACGTTGTGTATTAAAGTTACATTATGTGTAACAGATTGTTTTTTTCTCAGTACAAAATAAAAAGCATCTGTATTAATGTAAAGATAACCAGAATAAAAACCTTCCAGGTTTTCAAGTATGGTGGATAAAGGTTTGTCCTTTTGGCTCACTCGAGGTAATCTGAATATGTAGATTTCGAGTCACCTTCTCTTGTTAATGCTGGAAGTAACCGTTTCACTGTGCTTTCTCCACAGTCACATTGGAATCGAGCTGTGGCCCTGCTAGAGGGCCGTGAGTGGAATTCTACTTTCCTACAGATGACAGTGATCAGAAATGGGCAAAGGGTGACACCGTGAACATAAGAATATAAGAATATGGTGATATATACATAACGTCTTTTTAAAGCTATGACTATATAATAGGCAAAACCTGCTGAATGAGGCAAAGTCTCTCATACGTCCTGAGTAGAGGGCTGTGACCTATCAGGAAAAGTCTGGTGGATCTGACGTTCAAAGCCAACCATTATGACTAGAAAAGAAACCAGAAAACCTCTAGTAACTCCACTGGGAAATCACTCTTGCCCTTTATAGATGGATGGAGGAGTAGAACCCTGGAGATCTTACTTCCCATTGCTCTCCCAAGACCTATGAGTGATGTCCCAGCACATGGACTTGCCATTAAATTTAAATATTTTACTAACCTAAAATAAGGCATGAACAGAATAGGTAAAACTTTAGTAAATACTGCCCTGTTTCTATCAAACTTTTATTTGCAAATGTTTTACTGATGTTGGAAAAAATATTGAGAACACATCTATCCGTAGAACCCGTGTCATGTAACACGGGCAGAAAGTACATTTGCTTCTTGTGATAATGGGGAACAAAATGCTATAAACTATGTGGCTTAAAACAACAAAAAGTTATGCTCTCACAATTAAGGAGTACCAGGACCAGGCTGCCTTATAGACTTAAAGAAAGAATTCATTCCATTCTCTTTCTGGCACCTGGTAGTTGCCCACTTCCTCGGCTTATGGACGTGTCGTTTCACACTCTTTTCAGTCTTCGTACCATCTTCACCGCTGTGTCTGTCTTGTCCATTGTCTTAAAACGTCCTGTGTCGTTAGATTATCGAGCCACCTAGATAACCCAGGATACTGTATCTAGAGAGGCCATTCGTTTGGTTTTGGTTTTGGTGTTACTGATGGTGTTACTGCTGATAGTCATTTTGGTTTTTCCGGTTTTAAAATAAAATCGCATTCTCAGGGATCAGGGGCTAGGGCAGGAACCTATTTCTGAAAGCACTATTTAGCTCCCAGCAGAAAGATCAATGAGATCCAGTCTATCTAGTCCCTGTCATCACAAGCACACACCAGAGCTGGGGATATAACTCAGCTGCTAAAGTATTTGCTTTGAGTGCATGCGAAAACATTTTAAAAGCAGGACTTGTGGTCAGAATGACTGAGAACGAGAAGAATTAAATATATGAGAAGCAGTATTTGAAATAGTAACACATAATACTATTTTTAATCTACCTATAAATAGTGAACAGTGGCATGAAGGCCCAAAGGATCGGCCTTGAAGGAAATAAGATGCTAGACAATCTCTCCTGCGTGCGTTTGAATGGACAACCTGAGGAATCCACCACAACCCACCAGATGCTTAAAATAATGGCACCCACCACTCCCTGAATTCTCACTACCATGGGTACCTGAAATTTGGGAGTGACCTTGGGTAGGTGAGTAACAGATTTAAAGACACTAAAAAACAAAATTAAGTTCCAATCTGACTGCAGTTGGCAGGAGAGCCAGAGAAGCAAGCTCAAAACCCCCGTCTGCTGGAGAGGACGGCTCAGCAAGGCTGATTAGAGTAAACAAGCTCTGTTCACTGATAGACTGTGAGAGTCAGAGAAAGGCAAGATCAGCTGGGCTGTTCAGAGGCCCAGCTGATTCCTCTAACAATCAGACCAATGGTGGATCGGTGGATCTTAAAGCGAGACCATCAGGGTGGTGTCTGAATGGTGAGGAAACTGGTTTTGAGGCTGGGTTTTGAGCCATACTCACTATATTGTATGCCCTGTCAGAACACAGAAAATGCATTAACAGGAAGCTCTTGTCATTTTCCCCATCTTTCCTACAAGTCTTGTTTCTAATTAGAAAGTGCACTATCTACCATATGAGCCCTAGAAATAATTTTTATAAGCATCCAACACATGTATGAAAAACAGATGCTATAAGATCTTTTCTATGCAAGCCATCTTATAAAAAAATAGGTTTGGAAGCTTTTATTTTTCTATTATCAGTAACAACATTTTATCCTTCCGGAATGTAAAGCTGATTGATCCATCTCTGCAAAACTTCTCAAAATTTAAGAATTCCAAGCTAAAAAATGGGTCCTATTCCTAAGAAAAAAATTAGAAGCTAGCTATCTGCTTGTCTTGTGTTTCTGAAGCTACTGCACTCTGCATCCTCCCTAGCTTAAATATTAATAGATTGTCCTGCCCACCCGAGTTTAGCACAGTGGAGGAAAAGTCGTTCCTGTCTTAAAACTGCTAGGCAAGCTCGTTCCTGGACAACTCAGAGGGCAGATGTGAAGAATGGCTGAGAAAGGTAATATCTGTCTTTACAAGCCTCGAGTCCACGTGTTCTCTCAGCTAGTCCTTGCTCTATCCACAGGCTTATCCTGATCGTTTTAAATTCCATAACTTGTCCAAAAAAAAAAAAAAGGCTGTGGGGGCGGGGCTGAAAAAAGCCACAAAGTCAGATTTGAAGTAGACCCCTGAGGCAAAGGTGCGCACCCAAGGGTGAGGCAATTTTCCATCCTGCTCCACAACAGCAGGAGGCTTGGATTTACATAATTCTTACCGGTTCACTCCTTTATTTGAAATGCAGTTAGTAGATTTTTGGAAATCAGTTAATTGACCTAAAGGAAATAGTACCCAATATACTCCAATTTCATCAAAACTCATAAGCTATTTTCAAAGGAGTCTCCTTCCAGAACTTATTAAAATAAAGAAAAATTCAGCCAGCCAAGGTCTTAATAGATACTTCATTCAAAGAAACTGGAGGGGTTTGCTGAACCAACAATCATTAAAGGAAAACCAAATACAATTTTTAGTTTTCTATTAAAACAGGATCTAGTAAATAGGTGAACATTAAGGTTCTTGAACACGTGCCATAAATAAAGCAGGGAAGCCTCCCCAACATCTCATGAATCCATGCTATTTTGTATGTCCACATCCCATCCTCAGAAGATATCTCCTACCTATGAATATGAGAACATAAAACGAGCAACACCCCCCACACTAACCAAGCAACCGGTTTTCATGGGGAAAATAGAAACACATTAGCCTCTCATTAGGAATGACCCTGAGCCATAGGAAACACTGTTACCAAAAGACAGCAAATGACGCTGGCCAGATGGGACTTAAAGAAGCCAAACCGACAGCTATCCAGCACCTGAGAACCCAGATGGCGAATCACCAGACTCAAGTAGTTGTTCCACGGTACTGACTGAAACCATCCTTTTGGGGGTATAATAAAGACAAAAGTCTACACAAAAGTACTATGAAATGTTTTTAATCCTAAGAAGGATATGATTATTAGTAACCAAAGAGGGAAAAGGTCAATAACAATAAAATTCAGTCTTTTAAAGCAAGTGAATATATATATATATATATAATATATATATATATCAAATTGTTCTACATTGTTAAATGGCATAATAGAACTTATTCATAGAAGACATATTCTCATCCAGTGGGAAATTGACTTTAAAATGATGTCTTGGCACAGTGCTCAGAGATGTTATAGGCAACAGTTGACTTAATGCTTAAGTACTTAAGTATTTGAGGCTCCAAAGTATGCCTTTTAGAAAAAAAAAAAACAAATCATGTATGTTTCTAGCACTCGTAGTAATGGGGAGAGCACATGCCAACTGAAAGTCATAGAAACATAATAATTTGCTTATACCTTTCAACATTTCACTGGGCTTATCAAAGGCCGCACATAAATCTATGCAGAGTTGTAGCGCTAAAATTGGTCTATATATTCCCCCAATAATATTCTCTCTGTCATCGTTCTTCAGCTCTTAGAATAAAATTACAAGCCAAGAGAATCCAAAGGTGGGACTGAGCTGACAAAAATCTGTTTAATATCTAAAGATAGAAATAAAATAATAACTTCTTCGATATCAACCGCACTTTCAGAGAGTTCATTAAAATTTAAGGCATTTTCGACATGTTGGCAATTTTAGTCCAGTGACAAGCAAAGAAAAAACTACCTGGGAGCAAATCCCAATTATCTCCATGGCTTGGAACATGCATGTTATTATTCCTATGGCTTGAAACACGCATGTTGGCACAGCGGAAGATGGGGCCGGTGATGGTGACGGAGTGCTCTGACTCTGTCCAGTGTGCACATTTTCACCAGCTTCCTTTGAAAGACATTTCAAGTGTATTTCCACTCTTAGGATTAAATTTCGATTATGAAAGGGAAAAAAATGCCAATATTCTGATAGTGGGACAAAAAGGAGCGGAGTCAAATAATTTCTTATCCAGAAGAATATCCAAGAAATTAAACACAAGAAATATGCTAGATAACATTCTCCTCAATAGTAGACAAACAATACAACATCATCTACTTCTATATTTAATAGTAGACACACACATACACACACGCACCATTCTTTTAGTGATGGCAAAAGGGTCTAGTGTTTTACCCACTGACCAATAAGCACAATTATTCATTTATTCATTTTGTCTCATTCTTCACAAAAATAAGACTATATTACCCATGGAATCAAACATTACAAGTCACCAAAACACCTCGAGCAAAAAACATAGTTAAAACCTTAC